AAAAAAAAAAAAAAAAAAAAAAAAAATAGATAAATTGCTGTGCTCTATGTGCAATCATTGAAAAAGAAAACAAAAGTTGGTTCAACAAGATTGAAAAAGCCGAATACCTCCATCTGTAGGTCCCACGAGTAATAATGTCGTGAGCTCCAACTCTTTTCCACCTGAATATACTTCGGCAAACAAAAGAAGTGGTTCGTCCTTGGGACCAGCATCCGGCCGCCTGGCCTCAAAGTTCAAATGCCTCCAGTAATAGTGCCTCTCCATAAAGCCCCTTGCAAAACCATGTCCCATCATAGACATTCCGTTAAGAAACCTCACAAACTCCAAACCAGTTCCCTAATAGAAATACCGAGTTATACATACAATACTAAGCAGTGTTACCATATTACCAAAACATTTATATGAATAAGATAGAACATCAACATGTTTGTTGTTGTAGTGTTGTAATGCAGATTGGGCTACGTTCTGGTTCCTATTTTTTATCACATTAGGGTCATTCGGGACTAAACGTGCTGCTGCTCTCTCGCGTCTTTCCAATATCTCTCTGTAAGTAATCGGCTTGCGCTTACTACAGGAAACAAAAGATCAAGTCTATTCTTTTAATATACACTTCTGCAGAGGACAACAACTGATTAGAGCCAATTCTTATAAGTTGTTAATACATGAAGGAAGACTACCTCAAACCAGATTAGACGAAACGAGTAAAATCCACAAAATTTAATTAAAAAAAAACAGTAAGAAAACAAGAAAGAATTGTCACTCACCGCCCTTTTATTTCCAGTCTCCGACTTCTACGCAATGGGACTTCTGTTCTCTGTGAATATTTAAGATATATACAGAAAATTGAATTAAATTATGAACAATCGTCAAAAGGAAAAGAAGATGACAAGAAAGATGTGCATAATTCGGCTACCTCCTCTGGTTTCATGCCGCAGTCTCTTTCTGGACTTTTTTTAAGCTTGCCGTCTTCCCTGCAACAAGTATAAAAATGAATATATTCAATCAGGCAATAATCCAAGCCAACAGAACGAGAAACACGAAAAAAAATAAATAAAATGAGAAATACTAGCTCCATAATCAGAGATTAAAAAAAAATGTGACACAGCCAAACATAACCTAACCCTATTTTTCTTTTCAAAAAATTTAGATTCAAAACCTGATAAGAAACGCAAACAAGGACAAAAACTGAATTATTCACGAGTTACCAATAATACAAGCTAAGAACACGAAAACAGCAAAAATGGAGGAAAGTGTAATAACATAATTGGAAGTACTTGTAAACAAGATTCATCAGCTAACAACATTAAAGAAAACATTAATCAGAGGTTAAAGAACACAAAAACAACATTAAAGAAAACATTAATCAGAGGTTAAAGAACACAAAAACAACATTAAAGAGGACATTAATCAGAGGTTAAAGAACACAAAACCCACTCAATCCAGCCAATGTAACCTAACCCTAAAATTTTGAGGGCATACAGATGCAAATCGTAATAAAAAAATTTGAAGAAGATCAAGGACAACGTTATAAGAGCAAATCCTTAACGCGCACAAAAACAAAACATGAATGAAGTAAACCTCAATTCGATCGAAATAAGAACTTGGCTCGTGGCTCGTCCGTGAGAATCAAACGTCCACTATTTTTTACTGGTCACTACTAGAGCTGCAAACGAGTCGAGCAGCTCGCGAGCGCTCGAGCCAAAGCTCGGCTCGAGCTCGAGTTTGACCGAACTCGAGTCGAGTTCGAGCTGCTCAAGCACGAACTCGAGTCGAGCTCGAACTTATATTTTACATTGTCGAGCGGCTCGCGACCTGCTCGATATATATAAAATTATTAAAATACCCTTATATATATATGTATTTAATAGTTATTTTACAAAATTGTTTGAAAAATTTTGAACCGAACTCTAGCCGAATTCAAGTATTTTGAATTCGAGTCGAGCTCGAGCTGAGCTCGAGCTCTTGTATTATCGAGTCATCTCGAGCCTAATAACTCGAGCCTAATAACTCGAGCAGCAAAAAAGAAATTTCAATCATGCTTGATAAAGCTAATTAGCTAATGTTGGACTCAACTCGGCTCGTTTGCAACCCTAGTCACTACGGACGATCAACCTTACAGGTTAAAATTGGGCCACCGTTTGTCTAAAAATAATTTGGGCTTCCTTAGACCTTGGATATTGGCTGCGCCAGCTTTTAAACACACTGAAGGCTTTAAGAGTGTGAAGATCAAAATGAATGTCTTCTGTGTGATTATGAAGTTGACCTTTTCATAAAAAAATCCATCAAATATTTACAAATTATATTATAGAAAACTAGTTACGGTGAGCAACTGTGCGATTCGGTGAAAAAAGCATTGAACCTAACAAAAATAACCTAACCGCAATGCAACTTAAGAAAACCAAACTGAGACCGAACCGATTTTTACACTAAAATAATCGAACCGCACCGAATGAACGGTTCGGCTCAATTTTTTATTTTTTATCTCGATTTTTCTATACATTTTATTCATTTTGGTGCAGTTCCGTACAAAAAAACACCGAACTGAACCAAATCAAACTTATGAAAAACTATAACCGCACGGCACCGCAATGTAAGAAAAACCGAACCCGAACTGAAACCCAACCGAAATATTTTTACATTAAAAAAAAAAAAGGAACCAAACCTTCATTAGCTAACAACATTAAAGTTAATTAGTGTGTTTGCCGTCAAAGTGATTTATTTTAATTTATCGAATAAATAATTAAATTAGATGAAAATATCGATTATTCGAATTTAAAAGAATGTTTTATTAATGTCTCGCAAATCATATATCTAAATAATAAAGAATGTTTTATTAATGTCTCGCAAATCATATATCTAAATAATTGGTGTCATGGATTATATAAATAAGAGATCACCCAAGTTATGTTATGTGTTTCTAGTTATGACAATTAGAAGAAAAAATATAATTAAAAAGGTAAGCAGATGCTTTTGTCCAAAGAGACTTTATTTGATTAAAATTATATATAATTTCCATTAAGGATTAATATTTAAAAATCATTAATATTGATCCAATTTTTGAGGTCAGTCTCATTAATGAAATCAAAAATTTGTTTTTATTGGAATAAACTACTCCTTATCATCGAAATTTGTTATATTTATTTATACATTCAACCAAATTTAGTCTTCTTAAGATTTCAAATAAATCACTAATTTTATTATATTTAGTTATAAAATTATCAAAATTATTCTGCTCGAACCAAATTTTGCCCGTCTGGTAAGTACAGATGAGATTAGTTTTTTCTGAATTTTAAATAAAATTGACTTGGAATTTAGTTACAAAAAAAAAAAAAATTCAAATATTGGGAAGCTATGAAAAAAATCCAAAAGGTAATAGTAATATATTCCGGATAATGACAACCAACTAGGGTTATTAATTTTCATCGGTCAATGTCTATCATAATTCATGTATCAAAATCTGCAGATACTCATATAAATAATAATAATAATTAACATAAAATGAGTAACAAAAATTAAATATGAAAAAAATAAAATAAAAGCCATTCCGAATATCATTCATAGAGCAAACATGTATCTTCATATACATGTGTACAAAATTGCAGACATCAAAAACTTAAAGGACCCTAATCACGATGAAGACACCATAGCAGATTCAAAAATCAAACCAAACGAAATCCCATAAAACATAAATTGATTTTGCCAAAAAAGAAAAAAAAAAACCACACTAAAACGAAATTGAACTATATGAAAGACGCATCTGCCATTGGAGGAAAGCTCAACGATTCGATGAAGGGCAGTCGCGAGCAAAATGCCCATCCTCGCCACAGCTGTAGCAACCGCCACCGCCGCCTCCGCCGCCGTACCTTCCTCCACCACCGCCGCCCTGGGAGCAATCCCTAGCCATATGCCCAGCCTCACCGCACTTGTAGCAGGCGCCGCCGCCGCCGCCGCCGCCTCCCCCGTACCCACCTCC